CTTACAGCACTCCAGACGATACATCACCTATGGGACTATGACACGCATTGTACCTCTTCCAAGGATGAAGCAGACTAGCCAACCTTGCGATTACCGATACTTTGGAGCAGTCGATATATGGAGGGCTCGTATCTAGTTAGAATATCGTGGTAGGCATCGCATCCTGGTTTCCACCCCTCAAAGCAAAGTGTCCACGTGGAAGGAAATCCACCGCGCGCGAGAGAAAGTTGGCGGGTTCGATCTCTGTTCCGAATATTCAACATCGTGAAGGACCGTGTTGACGCCGAGCGCTTTGTTTGGCTCTGCGTCCTCGTCCATCATGCCCAGCATCCGTAAAAGTCAGCAAGCACATGCATGCATCTTCCTTTTTTGCCATTTCTGATTCCCGATAATAGAGACGTCGAATCGCAAGTCGACCAATGACCGAGCCAAACTCCGTCATAAAGTCGCCGAAGGACGCAAAAAGAACAGAAAGCTTGCAAAGAAAAATCCTCAGTGGAAGTCGCGAGTGTCCAAAGACCCTGGCATCCCGAACAATCTCCCTTTCAAGGATGAAATTTTAGCAGAGATATCCGAGCAGCGTCGCCTGGTGGGTTACCAACGCATCGATCTCTGATATGTGCCACTAACACTTTTGCTCGTGCCCTACGTTAGGCTGCAGAGGAAAAAGCAGCTCGCAAATCATCAAAAAAGCCCCTCAAACATGTCTCTGGCTCTGCGACTGGAGACGATCCCTCAGGCTCTGATGATGACGGCGATGAGAATGTGGGGGCCTCTGTTGGAGTCAACACGATTCGATCCGCCCATGCACTATCGCTACCAAAGAAAAAGTCACCTCTGGCTCAACCCCTCACGGGTGATGACGACGAGCCCCTCTTGATGGATCCCGCCATTCCCGACCTTGGTACTGCCCTCGACGCCGGCAACGTCTGGCTTTACGTGCTCGATGCCCGTGATCCGCTCGCCCACCAAAGTGCCTTCATCGAGTCGATGGCGGCAGAGAAGAAAAAGTCATTAGTCTTCGTCTTGAACAAAATCGGTTTGTCAGCTCTCTACCTTCTCTGTTACTGTCGTTAAACCTTGCCATTCCAGACATTGCGCCAAAGGAAGCCGTCGTGGCTTGGCTGGGCTCCCTTCGTGATGTCAACCCCACGTTCCCCTTTCGCGTTTCCTCGTCGCAACTACCTCCACTCGACGATCATGCCAAGGGGAAAGCAAAGCTCAGCGATGTTGATGCTGTGGGTTCCTCGTCCTTATTGGCGCATCTGGAATCTCTGGCCTCCTCTTCCGAGTTGACGGTCACAGTGATTGGATTCTCTAATGTGCGTCCCCTCTTAACTCTTCAGTTCATTCCCGATCTCATGCCCGTGGAGATAGGCTGGAAAGTCGTCCGTCATCAACAGCCTGTGTGGGACGTCGCGTCTTCCTACTTACAAGCCCGACGCGACCAAAACATCGACCACCACCATAGTCCCGCAACCTTTCCCCTTTACCACCTCGTCCAAGAAGACTATTCGCTTTATCGACACCCCCGGTCTCGAGGCATCGTCGGACGTAGACGAGGATTCCGCAGCCGCCATCTCGGATGTCCTCTTGCGTTCTCGTGGCAAGCTCGAGCGCATGAAGAATGCCGAGGCAGCAGGTACGCATTTGAGTCCTTTGCAATGAATCGATTGTTGAATTTGGACGACAGCCCACAGGATTATTGGTCGGGCGAATGCAGACGACATCGTCCTCCACTACAACACCTCTGCATTCGTTCCCAGCGACCCCAACTCGTTTCTCTCTGGTCATGCGCGTGCCACCGGACGCATCAAGCGGGTGAGTTTTCAGGGTTTTTGGTAGTGTGTCATGACTAAATGGTGTTACTAGGGCGGCGTGTTGGATCTCGCGGATTCTGCTCGTTCGATTCTGCGCGATTGGCGGGTGGGCAAATTCCCCTTTTATACCTCGCCCTCCTCTTCCACCGCCCCCGCGCCCTCTACCAGCTCATTAGACTATACAGCTGGAGATGCAGAGGTGATGGCCACTCTGCGCACACGCAAGGAGATGCGTACGTCGGGAGGCCTCGTTCGTCTCACGAGCGGCATTGTCGATACGCGGCCGATGCGACTGGACGCGCCACCTCCTCCCACTGGACTGCGGATTCCAATAGAGTCGCTCGTTCTTGGTGACGAGGACGACGACGAGGATGAAGAGGGGGAGGAGGGTGATGAAGATGACTGGGAAGATGAGGATGACGAGGATGATGACGAGGTCGAGGTGGAGGACGAACTAGAGCCATCTCCTCCCCCGCCGCCGTCTCGGAAGCGCAAGGCGATGGCTAACCAATCCACTGAATCGAAGCGGAAGAAGGTCGAACCGGCGCTCTCGAAACCTTTTAAAAAGGTTACGTTTGAGAAACCTCCTTCCGCGTCGACGGCCAGCAAGACGCAGCCCTCGTCCACATCATCCGCCAAACCCGCCAAGTCTTCCCTGAAACCGTCATCTGCGATCAAGGCGTTAAAGGAGAAGAAGCCATTGCCGGCCACGACAAAAAAGCCTTTTTCCTCGGCGGCAAAGGGGAAGAATGCCTCGGTTGAGTCGGGGGCGAGTGAAGCATACGATTTCAAGCAGTTTTTCTGAGTAGAATACATTTGATTTTGTTTTGTAGAGTGTATTGGCTCGTGGGTGGAGCTAGGGGGAGTTGCACTTGAATATGGAGGGTATGATAACGGCATGAATATCGATGCTTTGTGTAAGACATTATGAAGAATATTGGTTGTTTGTCAGATGGAATGCCTGAGAGGAGCAAGAATAAGCTGGCAGTGAGCTCTCAGGTTGGCGGAAGGCTGATCACGGATTCAAATCCGTCATTTGTCAAAATATTTTAGCACGAGGGGGGCGGGATCTCTGGGTTACATACATTCAGGGAATTACTAAGATATCCAGACTGCTATGAAATAATATCAACATGATATGAGCAAGGTTGGAAGGCAGATTTATGGCTGTGGAGGCAAGAGCTTGGTCAGATGAAGCAAGAACCTGATCAGACAAAGCTGTAATCAAGCAGAACACTACCCCACACCACATCAAGGCAATCACAAAGAGATGCAGATGAGTAACAAAGGGATACAAGCAAAGGGTTATACACATGCAAAAAGGACACAACACCCCTGCAAAAAGAGATTTCCAATACTCCACGCGGGACTCGAACCCGCAGCCTCAGGATAAATGAGAAATTAGAAGTCCTGCGCGCTACCATTGCGCCAGTAGAGCGACAAACTGACCAGAGGGGGAAAGTAGAAGCATTGCCGTCCAAAAACGAGAGTTTTCCGATTTTTCCTGATTTTTCTAGCCCCTCGACATTGAAATGGCTCATCCAACGCCCGGAATAATACCTTTATGATATCCTAGTATTCCCTACGATAGCTGATGTATTCTAGAATAAATTGTACTCAAGGGGAGGGAGGGAGAGCCAGTGGTTGGCGACTAGGAGGAAAAGACCTTGGCCACTCGAACTTCGAACAAGATAACCATACTTCCTCACAATTTCACAACTAATTGAATAAATAAATTTGATCAAGACAATCTCAGCTAGCGCAGCGATATGGAGTTGAAGGGCGAGGGGGGTTGGGGGTGGAATGACTTGGCCGAGACCACGAGCAGAATTCATCGCTGGCGAGACACTAGAACTTTGGACACCAGACCATCTGGATATCAGAATAGATAGCTTGCATCAATAATTCACCATTCTACCAGCGAATACCATATCTCAACAGAGACATTGTCTACCACTTTTTCAGCTGAGAAGCTCATTTGTCCTCGTCACCGCAAGTACACCAAGATCCATTGAAAGCATTCATACCGATCACATCCTAGTACTCATTGTTGATATCAATAGCCCAGATCTCAGCCTTTATCGATTTCGCTAACCCAAGATCCAGCAATCTCAAGCTCAGATGACAAGGATCTCCCAAGCTCACATGAGCAATTGAAATATCATATTAGACGTTATAGGGGAATCGATTACATGGACCGATTCGTAGTCATGGACTAGAAGAAGAGGACCAGAGATGTTATCACAAAATCCAGAGTAGTGCCGAGGTACGCAGGGGAAGGGAGCGGTTAACATCAGTCCTCGAAACATCACCAAACAGAGAGACCCTATCTTCTGCACCTGACAATAGCTCAACGCTGTTAGGCCCACTGATTCAGAAACACGATCGCGAAAGCATACCATCTACCAACGTCTTCCGCTATGTGCAAGAACTTTCCTCCCTTCACGACAACATACCTAAGCCACCATCGTCGACCTCAACTCCTTTCTCCTAACACACTGAACTTGCGCAACATGCAACAACGTCAACCTCCCTCATGTCTCCCATCCGATCCTGTCCCTCCCACCATGATGGATTCGCCTCCGCCTCGCCTCTTCCCGTCTGGGAACGCGCTGTCACCTTGGACTCGTCTCCAGCGCTGCATCCACTAGTCCTCGAACGAGCCCATGCCAAAACCAGAATACCGCCGAGAGCTCATAGAAGCCTAGCACCATAGTTTATGGAAATCAATCCCCCGCCCCTTACGGAATCTTGACCAGCAATGACCGAGTTGACCAGCCACAAACCTCCAGAGTCTTACCCCGCCACAACAAGGTACTTATAGCCAGTCTCAAAGTCAAACGTCCTACTCACACAAGAAAATCGTATAGCTTGAACTGCGGAGCCCGCGCTCGTGGCCGGTGATGGACGAAGCAAAGTCCCGAACAATCCAGCCAAGGTTCGTCGAGGTTGCGGCTCTCAAATCTGTATATCCCAAAGAAGACTCAATCATGATTGCCCTATGCAGTAGAGCTCTCACGGTGTATTGGATGGATCGCCAGTACGACACATACGGTGTCTTCCAATAGTAGGTATGCGTCATTCACTCAGTCTCAGGCCTCAATCTTACAAGCTTATCGCAGTAGCGCAGTAGAAAAACATGCCATTTCGCGTCTTCATAGGGCTTTCCTGGGGCGCTAGTCCTTGGCACTCAAGCAGACAAGAGAAGTTTCAATCAGCGCGAGGTACGGCCACCATTTTTCGTCGAGACTTGGACCTTGACACCGTTTCGACTTGAACTCTAGATGGTCGGATTACTCATTCAAGGCTAGCTGTGTGGGCCCCAGAAGCGCAGGCGACAAGCTGTTGGGGAAGAGGTCGAGAAGAAAAATTGATGATGTACGTTCCCGGATATGGATGCATTGCGGATTGACAAGTATACACTTTTTCTGATCGGCGCTGGACACCTTGAAAGAATTGACTCTTTTTTTTCCTACTGCCCAACTCTTCCATTGATACAGGATTACGCGCTATCGTCGACCATAAGTCCTGCCACGATGGAGACTCGAAGCTCGCCATCGACGAGCGCGATCCATGCCAACCCAACACCCGACACTTTTCATCCCCGCCATCGCCCCCGTAGTTCATATACTGGCTAATGACAAGATTCCACGCCTACTCTATTAAGAATGGAGGCCTGACTCGGGACTTCGTCAATGTACATTCGAGGCAGGATCAACAAGTCACAACCTGGACTCGCGTCTAATCGACTTTCCCCCCTCGCCCCTCAGAACGCGTTTCTTGACTGAAACCGCACGATCGGCGTCGTCAAGACGTGTCTGACGATCTCTGGCATCGTCTCGTCCATCTCACTTCACTCCTCACCGCACCATCTCAAAAAAAACCGTCCTTTTCCCAAAAGTGTCTCTCATTCCGATCGATTTCCCTCTTCATGCCATCTGCTTCTCTTCCTACTTCAAAACCTGCTAAAAACAATCGTAAGCTCTTATAGATCATCTGGCATATCTA